CGAAACTCGAACTTGATGCAGCGCATTTAGGCATATACATATATATATATACATATATATATTTTACTGCTACATCTTATGTATGCATTATATTTCTCTTGTATATATAATTTAATCTATATTTTAAGTGCAATTGTTTCTGAAATCGAAAGATCAAACTTATATCGTTATTAGAGATCACTTAAAAGTATAGTAAAATAGAATTTTTGGTAAATGTGTTAACTATTTCTTTTTCATGTGTTTCGTTAAAAAGAATGTAGAAAATTAAATGAAATATTTGAATGATTTATATTCTATATTTTTTTTAAGAAAGAGACATCACAATTTTAGAATTTTACTACATTATTCGTTATTTCATTTTGTATCGCTCAATTTTAACACTTTTATCTAAACGTCGGATTGTAGTTGTATTAAAACTTTGAAGACATTTTGCACAGCGGTTTTCTAAAAAATCATATGACATGAGGCAAGAATGAAAAGAATAATCAAGTGTACGTTAAAAACGTCAATATAGAAAATATTACAAAACAGTTATTCCCATAAAGTCTTCTTGTTAACTGACGCGATCTTATTAATGCGCCCTGTTAGTCACGCGTGTAATTATATACACGCACAAGAGCGGCGCGTGCGTGGACATACGTTAGGCTTCATGCGTGGTAGGCGCCAAAAGATAGCGAGGCAGGCGCCTTCTTAACTGTGGGAAAGAAGCGCCGGCGTCTGGAAAGTCCTGCGGAGGCGCCGTGTGAGCGTCCTCACAAATCGTTTAACTAACTTTCGCTTATTTTCAATTCGGCTGCAGATAACGCTGTTTCTCTTGATAAAACGGGCAACGGCCGTTTTTCGGGAATGTATCTCTCGTAGAACAAAATTATAACTTTAGCGTAACAAATTTCTCCATAGCTATTAATTAATAATTATCGATTTAGTCTCATAAAATTTATAAAACGAAACGTTTGTTTTATAATACTTAGAATATGTAATATTTTGAAAATTTAATCTTTTTTTTCAATAGAAATTTATGCACAAAATTCTCGACTTAGTGAAATAATGTAAGACGAGTAAAATCCAAATTGATCAAATACACTGACAAAAAAATTTTTTTAAAGTAAGTAAATACATTTGCTTATATATGTGATTTTTAAAACTTCATTGACTTCTACCGTAAGATACCGTGGATCCTAATTATTGTAGTTTGAGCAAGAGAAATATTTATGCAGGATGGGAAAGTTATTTTATAAAAGTGTCTAGTTACAGTTAAAGTTTTTTTTTGCTAGAAATTAACTAATTACAGTTACAAGTTACCAATTCTGAAAAGTAACCTGTTACAGTTACAGTTACTCAAAAAGTGACGATTCGTTACTTTGCAGTTATTTTCTTGCAATGAAAATAAAAATATCAAATCGGCATTTGAATTGTAAAGTGTCGATGAAGACGTTTATGCGCAAGCGCAAGGCCTAATGCAATCTGTGGAGGTTTAAAATACATATAAAGTCACTATTAATGTAACTGAGTGAAGTTACAGTTACAGGTGGAGAGAAAGTGACGAAGTTAAGTTAAAGTTTACCAAGTTTAACAAGAAGTAGCTGTAACTTTGTTACAAGTAACGAGTTACTTCCCAACGCTGTATTTATGTCATATAAATTCACGTTATTGTCTTATACATTGGAATTGACAATCGACTATAAGTAGGTATCCAAACTAAGCAGAATCAATGCACTTTGATTGCCCGCACGCTAAAACTGAGGTCGTGAAAAGAGATCTTGGCATAATGCGGTGTCCAGTTGCAAGACCGACCCGTCCGTGTTGCCGCATAAATGGGCCCTTTGTGCTGTCGTCTCGCGTCTAAATAGCCGCATGCGGCCTCGGATGCCCTGTCCGTGTATAGTTTATAGAAAAATCTCGCACGGTGGCGTGTATTGGCCAAGCGCGTGGGGGGTCCCATGCCGCCCATGGTGAGCCGTCTGCATTTTCCGAATCTGTTCTTTTTCTTATCGCTATCGATGACTGCTACACATTACTAGACAATACCAGATGAACGTTACTGTAATAGGCCGAAAGAAAGTCTTACAGGTGGTACCTGAAAAAAGTTAGCGTGAGTCCAGGCCCGTTACGCAAGAGAAAGGCCCTCAGTTGGTGTCAACGATATAATTACCACTGACGTTATTTGTCAAATGTCGTCAAGAATGTCACTTTAAGTGTCGAAATGATGACAAATAACATGAGCTACCTGACTTTCCTCTCTTCATAGATTTTCTGTGTAAACAGTAACGTAATTAGGATCTCGTTTCATTAGATATTTAAATAATAATTCATTAATGAGATTAATTTCCTTGATTTTGCTTAAAGGTAACAGGAAGTTGTAAATTATCTATTTCTCTGCTAGAAATCTTTTATGACAAACCAATTAAGTTTTATGTAATAAATCAATTAAATTTATATAACGAATTAAAAATTAATATTACGTTACGATTGTATATACAATGACACAGAAATTGGAATTTGGAAATCGACCAAAGCATCGAAATTACTTTATAAACTTTTCCTTGATTGTGTAATGACATTAAGTATAATATAACCGCAACAAATTATTTAACTTGACATTAATGTAAATTGTTAACATGTTTAATATGCATATTTAAGAAAAATCCGCGAATTAAACGTTAACCCGTACGTTTTAGCTAAAGATACAAGCGTATTGAACAAATAATAAATATACTTGTATTAACATTGTCACGTGCAAAAGAAAACACTTTAAGACACGTAAACAACGAAAACCTAAGAAGCGCACTGTTTAATGTTGTCCGCATATCCGAGCTTGCAGACTTGCAGGACTGCAGATGAGGTTGCTATTGAAGAGGTCAGCTCGACTGCGTTTCTGCGCTCGAGCACATTGAACGAGACTTTTGTCGTTTTCCCGTGAGTGGCCCAGACAATTGCGTGTATCTGGATGTCTAGACGACGGGTCCGTTTCACGTTTTCTGTTCGAGCAGAAATCACATTAATTTGAGTCTCTTCCGTTGCTTAGTGCTGACAATTGCCGACGCAGAGCATCTGTGGAGTACAAATTTCTTCTACATTTTTTAAATATTTACCTTGCTTTCAATTATTTACCGTTATTTGGGATATTATTCGATAAATATTTCTTATTAGATTGTTAGTTATTATTTGTTCGTTAAAGTCTCTTATTAGCTCAATTCAGTTTAAAATTAGAAAAATATAAAGCAAATACTATATTAGATAACTAAGATCCGCGGCTATGTAAATCTAACTAGATTTAAAAAAATGTTACAATAAGCAGCAAATCTAGAGAAATTAAAGAAACAAATATTATTAAGACGCCCGTCACAGATTGAGGGAGGTCCCAGGTTCGAATCCTGGCTGGGGTAATATTTTTCGCGATAAGAATAACTTACAGTACGGGGAAAGGGGGGTATTGAATGTTAAATGTAGCATCAAAAAATGCGAAAATGTAGCATTATTTTTAAATATAATTCCAAATCGTTTATCGATTTGAATATGTGAATTTGCTGACGGTAACAACTCCACCTGTAATAAAACTGCGTTATGTCCGAAAAGAAATCGGCGCGCAGGACAAATGTGGAAAGAAACAGTATATGAATTCACATTTTAATAAATTACAAGTATAGGCTATCTACATCCTGCCTTAGACTCGCATCGGCCGTTCTTGTGTGTTGTTTAAATATTGTTAAATTTCTATGTTATTTATTCAATGAGATTTATTTGACTTTTCCGTTTGCAATAACATATGCGGCAAGAAAAGACTATGTGAGTTAGTTTTAACTTTTTCTTCAGAAATAAATTGGAAACTTTGAAGACAAAGAGCCAAAAAGGTCCGTGACTCGAAAAGTTTCTTGAAAATTGAAAAGTCCTATTTGTCTTGAAAATTTTTTATCCAATTCTTTCTTTAACCGACTTAAATAGTTCTATTTTATCCTATTACACATTACATTTATTAGATAATCTTTATTATACTTCAGCACCACAAGAACTTGGTTCACAATCTTAAAATCTAACCCATTCATACTTTCCATACTAATTCTTACTCATTGTGCAATTGTCTTTCTATCTATAGCTAAAAAATATTCTAATACTTCCCAATTCCAATATAACATTCTTGTTTTTTTATTATTTAATCTTTTTGTGTAGTTCCGCCGCCTTTTTTCTTGTCCTTATCTTTTTTCCTCTTCGCCCAAAATTGCTGTAGCTATTATTACATTTATTATATCAGGTCTATTTTGATTTTCGTTAATTTGCAATGAGTTTAATGGCTATCTGAGGGCATGCACGACGATGGTCGAGAAGAAATATCAATTAATTACACTGCGCGCTGCTTCCAGGAAAAACGATGATGATTAATCGAGGGAGAACGGGAGGGAACGTATTGCGCAAATGATCGTTTAATCGTTGCTTTTAGAAACACGACTCGCAGCATGTTTCGATTGGTCGGATTCGTTTCGTATAGGCGGGTCTTTCGTACTCTCCTCCGCCTTGCGTTACCAACGGCTATGGCTGTCGCGACGCAAAAAGATATTTCGCTGTCTTCTCAATTATTCAGACACTTCCGAGATCAATAATTATTATACGCTGCAATCGTTGCTCTCATTTCAATTGTGCTTTTCTATGCGACTTTTGTCAAGAAGAATTGGGGGATCAAAAGTATTTTACTCGGTCAATTAAAGTTGACTCAACCGCTTAAATTGTCAATTTTGATTTAAAATATTTTACGATTAAATAAAAGTACATAAATTTATGTAAAATTTGTTTTATGTTCCGTATTATGCAGTTGTCAGAAAATTATAAAAAGTCACTTAAAAATCTACTTATTTAAAATTTTAGTAATTGTTCTAAATTACTTTTGAATTTAAAGTCTGTGGTGTCTAAAACTGCATATAAATATTCATGTTAATTCTTATTATTTGTATTTCCATTATTTGTTTTGTAAGATTTATTCTAACACACGTATGTATACATTTGTTATAAAAGTCACTTAAGAAATTAATATCTTTTAATGTTAATTCAAAAATACTACAACAATTACAGTAATTTAAATTAATTACACATTTCTCCCAACAAGAACACCTTCTGTAAAAATTGTAATATACGGAGTTACCGTTAAACTTGTGCGTAATTGTGGTAGTGAAAATCTTTAGTCGTACACCAACGCATCCTCACACTCACGTCAGTGTATCGACGTGACGTTCCTGTGCGACGGGACCAACACTTGACTCCCTTGCAAGACCAAGTCACATTATACGTCTGCCCTCCGACCCGACCACTCAGCCGTGACCATCCCCCGAAACAGGGATAGTGCATCGATAAACGACTGTTGGTTGCTCTCGCCAATTTTACAGATACTTGTGCCGTTGGACAGTGACGTGTTTGTCTCATCGTGTGCCAATATCAAATTTTGCTGTTTAACAAGATCACGGACGAATTGTTAAGAATTCGACGTACAAATTTGAACGTCTCTTCGCTCCGTAATTAAATTGACAGTTCACACGTGAGCGCTCCACCGAGATTTCTGCGCGTGAATTTAAGACTCTTGATAAATGTATGAATTTATAATCAAGTTTGACAATTAACGAAGCAATCAAGATCTCTACGAAGGGCGAGACTTATTTGTTGAACATTAACTGAGTTAACGCTTAAAGAAATAATCGTCGGAGTACGATCAGACAATCGAATCGCGTGTGTACCGTGAGTGTACCGAGGCTCCAAACTCTGCAAAGTGAAGAGAAACTTCAGTTGCTGAATTAAAGAGCCGAGACTCGTTTAAGAAGAAATACAATGCGTCGGGAATTTTTTCTGAGGAAGTGACGTCCGACGCATCACAAGTGACCCGGTCGACAATCGAAAAATGCTTTAGAATGTTGTCCTCTTCGGTGTCAACTCCATTCAGCGTTCGTGATATCCTCAGCGAAGATCAACAACTTGGTGTCATGGATTGTTACGCGCATCATCAAAATCAAACTCAGCAGCAACATGTGCACCAAGAGTATTATTCGTATTCTAACGTTGTCCTAGACAGCAATTGGGAAATGGATAAATTTAAGGATCAACCGATGTCTAGCTATCAACATTACTCGGATCTCAACCACGTTCACCAATTGAGTCAGGTGGTACCGCCGTATCAAGAGACTTCTATTACCGAAGACGGTAAGCAATACTTTTCTTTGTAAAAGTTGATTTAGAGATATATCATTTTTTATGATTTATAATTATACAGTAATAATTTACAACATGGAACTATATAGCAAAATTTGTCTGATTGTTTGATTCTTCTTGCGCTTTATAGTAATCTTTATTAGATAAAAGTAATTGTGATAAAGGACACATTTTTTTTTATTTAAAAGATTTTCGTGGTTTCTTTATAAATTGTTGCAAATACTTGCACTTTTTGAAATGTAAATTATAGTATTAACGTATGAGAAATAAATATATTAAAGGATAAATTATGAAAGAGTATAATTTATTTTTAAGTTTGAGAAATTATATTACGCGTCAAATTAAGGGTCGCTTCTGTGATATATTTTGCTAGAATTATTTCCCAAATATTTTATTGTTTCGAATTTTAGCTTTATTAATAACAATTTAGTAATAATAATAAATTTTCTGATAATACGTATATAATGAATTTGATTTTATTTTTAGGTAATATTGTTACGTCCAGCAAAACGGAATTGCGCAAAAGCCAATCCGGTAAAAGAACGAAACGGAAGCCACGAGTGTTGTTCTCGCAAGTAGGTTTGAGTCTCTTTACATTCAATAGATAACTGAAAATTATTCAATTATTATAGTTATTCACTTTAATTCAGATAGTACTTTTTGGTAAAATTATTTTATAAAAATGATTTTATTTACAGACTTACAGTTAATTATAATTTAAGATGATTTTGTAACAAATTATAAACATTACGTTTAAAACAAAATATTAAAAAGCGCAAAGCGCTTATAAATAACCCCATAATCCACTTTGCAGACACAAGTTTATGAATTAGAACAGCGATTCAAGCTGCAGCGATATCTAAGCGCACCTGAAAGAGAAATGTTGGCCCAAACTCTGAAGTTAACCAGCACTCAAGTGAAGATTTGGTTCCAGAATCGACGTTATAAGAACAAACGCGCCCGGATCGAGGACGCCGAGAAGCTGCAGGCACAAAATATGAAGAATCAGCCCCTGAAAAAGATCGCCGTACCGATCCTCATCAAAGACGGTAAACCCAATGTACAAGAGCCCTACAACGCACCTTACTGGCCGAATATCCGATCGGATTTAAGCGCTCCGATACAAACGGACTTTAGGACAAACGATATTCGTCTCAGTCCGGACTTCAGGTCCAATTCAAACGAGGTGAGGATTGATTCCAACATTAGTCCGGAGTACAAACCGGAAATAAATTCAGAGATGCCCGGAAGATCAGGTCTGAACGACATGCCGGACAGGCAGCACGTTCCAGAATACAGAGGCAATTTTGTGACGGAAGTCCCGCCAAATGTGCACGATTGCAGTCGATTAATCAAGACAGAATTTAAGACATGTGCGAATGTCAACGAAGCCGTATCGTATCCAGACTTGAAAACTGTTCAGCCCGATAACAAACAGCTTATGACTGATAGGCGAATGTCTATGGATGTCTCTAATGGCGAGTATGGATTTTCAAATTACATTGCTCCCACCAATTACCAAATGCAGTACGTGAATTATATGGAGCAGGTACCCATGGATCAAAATCTGCAGCGATTGTGGTAGGTGCACCAAAAAAAATTTATCTCACGTAAAAGTTTCAAATAATTAAATCGCAATTTATATCTTCGGATCTACAGTGGTTCTATTGATAAGAACAACTCAGATTTAGCAACTAATTGAGAAAGGAAGAGAGAAAGAGAGAGAGGGAGAGGGAGAGATATTATCACTTGAATCTTTTCAAATAATCTTTAAATTAATTATGTGTGTTGCTGAAAAGACTTTCACATCGATAAATATTCGAATTTTATTATCAATCTACTTATTAATATCGATTATTGATTAATTTAGAATCGATATGATGAAGATGATTAGTAAAATGATAATTTAATCTTAGAGAACGGATTATACTTTTATCTTTTTATATTGTGTACAATATTTTTTATGCATGTCACATAATAAAAAGGCGAGTTATTCATCAATCATCCTTTATATAATTTATCTAATAAGTTAAAAGGTATTACATTAATACTTTGACGTTAAATTAAATTGCTGAATCTCGGCAAAAGATACCTAAAGATGTGTTGGCGAAAGAAATAATACATCGAAGAATACACCAAAGATGTATTAAACTTTAATTATTCTCTATATGTAAGCGATTGATGCTAATTGTAAGCTAGAAATACGCTATCTAGAGAATAAACTTGCGATGGCAGCTGTTTTTTAGTGAGCTAAGATATTCCCTTTGAAATAATAACGCGCCGTACAAGAGAGCGGAAATTGCTTCAAGTGGTCTTTGCGGAAACATCGAGCACTTTTCCGCGGATGTTGTGTGCCTCGGAAAGTTTTTTTTCCTCTGACTTTCAAGTGCAGACGTTAGTTGTGCAATAAATTAATTTCGTTCAGATGGTATCTTGCTGAATAGAAACAGAATTGTGTATATTGTCGACAAGTTACGAGAAATGTTCAGTTTTCTATTAAATATGTAACACAAATATGAAAGTATTGTATGTCTCCTGTAGATGTAGACTTAAAGAATTATTTCACCTTGCCTCTTAAATAAAGTTTTACATCTAATATGGGGATAATTTTAGAATAATTAATTTCTTCTTTAAAATTATTTATAAGGACATTATAAGAGGTTTGAAGTCATATATTTATTTAGACAGTTTAAACTTTCATCCTGTTTTAAAAAAGTGATGAATGCAGTCTTTATACTAAGCAAAATATGTTTCACACTCAGCTCTATCGTAGAACTGATATTAGATAAGCTTAAGATTATAATGAAATGCATAAGCATGCCATGAAAAAATAATTATTTTAAAGAATTCAACGTTTGGTAAATTTCGACATCGAGTCAGCTAATGCCTCGATTTCAGTTGCAATCACGTTCATTATTTTCTATTATTTTATTTTATTCTCTGCTGTTACATCATTGCACTCAATAAAATTGTTATTAATCTAGTTATTGCAACAAATCGAACGCATGATGTTTGCATAGCCTGTCCGGTACTGGTGTATTTGCTACATGCATTTACATGAATGCCCGGTATATTTACGATCGATGTCGATTTCCGCCGAATTAAATTTGATCCAGATGCCTCTTGTGAGTCCGCGGTTCGATACGGAAATATGGCGAAATGGCATTTATAAATAGGTGAGTTCTGACAGCTTGAGCGAAGCCATAGGCGCCTTTTGGGTTATCGCGCGAACACGACGGGTCATCTGGCAGTCAAGTGCTGCCCACATAAACGATTTACATCAGTGTAATCGTGTTCATGGTGCTACTGGTGCCATAAAGGGCCATGGGAACAAGCCGATAAGAATGTCACTGATAATTTTATAAGACTCACGTGGCCGCATTGTATCTACCTAAACGAAATGCAACCTGCACCCCACAATTCCTTTCCAGACATGCACCTGCGCCGCACTTGCGCGATAGGTTCCAGTCCTATGAGATAAATTAATCCGTACGTGTTGTCTACACGAGAGAAGCTAAAAAATTTATGTAGCATAAAAGAGATCGGGATTTCGATGAGACTTTCATCGGAAAACGCGAAAAAAAAGTAAAAGTGGGTAAATTTCTTAATGAAACGTTCTCGTGCCGTGTATTTAGAATTAGATCGTTGATTTTTTTCAGAGGTTAAATAAATTAATTCTTTTGTCACACACGCAAACGCGTTTCTCGCACTTTTCATACACTTATAACGTCGATGCATCGATGCATCACTCCACATGCACCGTATATCTATGTCCTATGATCGGCGCGGTTCCATTACGATATCATATATTCAGATAATCAATCACGAGACGCTCAACATAGAAATTCGATCCTATTTGCTTGTAAGCCAGAAGGGAACCGCGACAAACGTTTGCGCGAGGTCCCAAGAGAGAAGGCACGCGACGCTGTGCAAATAGACGAGCATATGCATAAAAGGACCAATGTCTACAAATCAGACTTTAGCTATAAATGGGGAGATCTTTTTTTACATACAAATCATTAATCATCTCGCTATTAAAGAATAGAAAAGGAAACCTACTTGTTGCATTTCATATGAATGAAATTTATCACAGGATGAAACAGATGAAATATTAACATACCTAATTTTGCATTAAAATTCAAATTGCATTACTTCGTTCTGAGTATTGCTGGTTATTCATTGCACAGATTAAAGAACAATAGGTACATTTATCTAGTAATCTAATTTATTTAAAATACTTCACATTGTTTTCTTTATAATTTTTAGGCATTTCTCATTGTACAAATATTTAAAAAATGTTCTTAAATTACTCGAAATCTTCCCTTTATAAAAAAAAGAGACGTTACCAGCGCGACTGTCGTTAATATCGAACAGTTGAGGCCTCTTTTCCGCGTTGCCGATTGGTTTTCGAAGCGCGGTGTGCTTCGCTTCTCTTTTAGATTCATAATAAATGAAGATTTGCAATTTAGAAATATACATTTGTGTATACCAACTACTGAGGTAAAATCTCTAATCTTAGTAATTAGAATTTAAGTAACAACGATTTTTGTTCCGATACATTATCTCGATTGAACAGAATTAATCGTTAATTTAATCAATACCCATAAGTCCGCAGAATGATACGCAAAACGTAGTAACAGTCACGGAACAAAGTAATGTAACATATTAAGTACAGAATTTTCAATTTCGTACGCGGGACAACGAACGCTCAACGTTCGTTGTTGTTTTTTTTCTCGGCGCGGTATCGTACGACGTTACGCGGGCGGGCCATTGTTTACCTGAAGGTCGCCGCCGCTATCACTCGCTCGCCGAACGTCGAGCCGGCAGGCAGTGGCGAGAGTCGCTCCGTGCATGGTATTACTTTTGCGTTATCGGTTTCCAAGACTCGATCGCGACGAATGTAGGGATAAAACGCTATCGATTTGTACACCTTTATCAGTAACAAGTAACGTTCCTCGATTAATATTAAGTTTCTACAACTTGTAATGAGAAGCGAATTTCATATTGAAGCGACGGCTCTTTACCAATGTATAAAAGATATTTCACCAGACTAACTCGTCTAAAATATGTAAGTAAACCGTGATACTTTGTCGCGGTTACATCTCATTTACGCACCGCGCTTTTAATTATCTGTCGATTTCGTGAAATCTGTTCCATTTTCGGGATAAGAGAGAAATTTGTGCGACTTCGACGTTCGCGCTGTAATTCGCTCTGTCGTTCTTCGTAACGCGAACGGGCGGGAAGTAGCGAAAATCGCTTATTGCTTGCGTTGCGTTTTATATTGCCAATTCAAAAGTGTTTTATCCATTATCCTGTTCTTCCGAAACAAAAATGCAAATTGTTAGTTTGAGTAATTTGTATGATAGAAAGTCACGCGATATTTGTTAGTCATATTTCGTGCGTTTCGCGGTATTTCACATCGCGTACGGGAGTGTCCGAAATTTCGCGCGATCGATGATTTTTGCGAGTAAGTATTGTGTGAGTGCAACAACGAAATCTGAGAAGAGAAGGAGGAGGTCTTGGAGACATCGGGCACCGGCGGAGCAATTGTGAGGTAATTAAGTGTCTTACATTTTTATGTTATTGGCTATTTGTGCAAAATAAAGCATTTGCTCTGTGTTTTTATATTATTTATTCAAATGATTCGAACGAGGATTCGAATAAGTGTTACAGGTAAAAATATATGTATAAAATTTTGTGAGTTTATATTTAAAAGGAAGATTTTATTTGAGTATTCTATAATTATTTTAATAAATACCTATTTTTAAAAATATATAATATAATATTTTATACAATAATTTTGATTTTACATAATTATTTTATAATAACCACATATTATACATATTTGTATTTCTACAATTCAAAGTATATATTGTAGTTATTAACGATACAGACTACAACTCTGCTTATTGCGTATCGTATCGGCGAATGATAAACTACATTTTACTTTAAATTGACGTTGCCCATACAGTACCTTCTTCGCGTGTATACAAATTAAAAAAAAATATGCATGCTCAAGAATAAACGGCGCACGCGATGCGCGCTCTTTGTAATTTCTAGTATAGCAAAGAATTCTTTGAAAATGCTTACTTCGTATATTCCGTTTTTATTTTAATAATTAATTTATAAATGTTTAACGAAATTATTGAAATAAGTGACGCCTTTTTCAAGGGATAATACGAAACTTATGAAATTTGTCTAAAGTTATAATTGTGTAAGTAATTTATCTGAAAGAGAAAACATGCGTTTATTATCAGCGGAAAATTCTGCTTTACCGTGCGTGAAACTATAACCGTTTGTTGCACTAGAACGCCGAGAGATTAGGGGATGTGAACTTGCATCCTTCCATAAGCCTAAATATCTGATTTACCAACCTATGAAACAGTCATTCTCATTCGACGACTTTTACTATTGACATGTCCTGCACTCTATATTTTGCTACAGAAGATTTTTCTAAAATGTTAAAATATATATACATATAAATATATACAATTTCTGTATACATATAACAGTGAAATGTATTTTATATTTATTTCTTCTTATAAAAGTCAAGGAACATTATATGTTGTGCGTTTAAAATGTTTAAAATTTTGTTCTTCGTAATTGTTTATCATTGTTTCATTATTTATTGGTTTAAATTTTTATTTTCTCTTTACGAAATTTATTGGTTGCTCTGCGTGCCATTTATATTTATGCAATCAAATTGCACATTATATTTCATTATAACTTATGATATCCATGAAGATTGAATTAACATAAATATTGTTTCTTTTTGTTCTCAGGATACAAAGGACGTCGCCGGTGAAGGTGGAGGCAGTAAGCTGTGCTCGTAGTTGGTAAGTACGAGAAACCTACGAGAAATATTTGAAAGAATTTCTTTGAGTCGTGGCGGCTGCATGAAACACCGCTGATTGGCCGCTCGTACGCCAATTTTCCTCGACGGCGCTTCGCCACGAAAAATCGCTAAATTGCTTCTTTGAAATGCCGGAAAAGCGGAGGAAACGGTTCCCTCCGTAGTTCGCTCGACAAGTTCTTCTTGGTAGACTTCAAGCGTCGTTACTCGCTTGATGATCCGCGCGATGTACTCGGGCTGATTTTCTCCCACCTTTTCGCAAATCCACAAAGTAGAGCAGATATCGATGATCGAGACAAAGGAAATATTTTCGCACACATGAGACTAAATAAAAATCTCTTAAGTTAAATAAGTTAATAAAGTATAATTTTATTCTTTCGATTTAATAAGAAAACTGGTTTATTATTTTTCGTTATTATTGTTTGGTCGAAGAATGTTTTCATGTTTTAAAAACTGTTCGTTAAAATCGAATCACTAAATTTTTTAATAATTTTAAATAAACATTTTAATTTTTTTATTAACAGAAAATTGTTAAGTTGCCTTATACAGTACCCTCCATAAGTTTGGAAACAATTTATAAAAGTGTGTAGAAATACATAATAAAATCGATCTATTTTGCATTGTAAGTGTTTATTTAACTAATGAAAACTAAAACGAAGATACATACGTGCATACGATAAGCTTTTAATATAATAAATCTCAAAATATAACCACCTTTTGCTTTAATGAATTGCCTTGTATACTCGCGGCATGCGATGGATTAACTTTTGCAGAGATTCAGTCGGGATACGTTTCCATTCTTGCTGGAGAATCTCCCAGAGATGTACTTTACTCGTAATTCGCTCTTTGCGAATCCTCCTGTCTAATTCGTTATTTAAACGTATCGTAATTCTATCGTTATTTTTATCGTTATATCGTTATACAATTATCGGTATTTATCATAAATATATCGTTATTTAAACGACTTATGATATATTTATACCAAACATATGCACAGATCGCTGCTGTGTCATTATTTATTTGTAAAGTATAGGGCGTTTCCACTTATGGATGGTACTGTGTGTCTAACGGTACCAGTTAAAATACTTGATCTTGTCAAAAAGAAATAATTTATAATTTATCTAGAAATATAAAGTGATATGCGAGATTTAAATCTATAAAAATACGTGTTAAGCTCGTAAATCATATTCGTCTCTAGCGCGTTTCGAATGTTTTCTGCGAAATGGAGAGGTGTCCCCTTTAACGTCTTCAATAGTCCATGTGACACTCCGGCTCCTAGGTTTCCTTGGCAACCATCCCAATTGAAACGCGTGTCAGAAGTCGGAAGAATGGTATATAAGAGAGGTAGAGGAAAAAGTGACGACAGAGACGAAAGTAACGACTGAAATCTCAAACTTGGAACCGGCAATTGCGTTTATATTACTTCGAGAGGGTGGCGAAGTCAGATTTACGTCGTGCATTTGTTTTACTCATGAAAGTAAAGAGATCTTGTTATGTCTCTGCAGTTGTTTGTTTTTTACGATTGCGGATTAAATAGTATTTTTTATGTATCTTTTATTAATCTGTCTTACAAAAATATCTAACGTGATCTGTAAAATATTACGAGTTATGCTTCATGTAGAAAAAGGTCTGGATTATACTTTTAAATTTGGTCATTCGTTTTACATCTATTGTAAGAGATATCGCAGGCGCTTGAAAAAGTCAGAATTTTTTACCGTGCACGCAAATGGTTCGTGCAAAATTGATAATGACCGCTATGTAGCCTCGAGCGGCTGAATTGTTCTCTTTGTACGATTTTTTAAAATGAGATTCAAATTGATCTCGCTTTGATAATCTTTTTGCAAGTAAATCTGACTCTCAGTATACTTGTCAATGAATTCACCAAAACGCAGAGAATATTTAGTTAGAGATAGTGAAAAATTATCCTTAGCTTTTCTTTCAAATTTGACTTTTATCTCTTGAATATTGATACACGTTCGTAAGCTAAAGAAAATTAAAATTAATTTCAATTCTTGCAAACTCTTAGCAGAGACTTTAAAGTGCTTAACAAAGATCAAATGTTAAGAAATTTACTTGAAAAGAGAAATCGATGATATGAAAAACATGATATATCCAATAGCAACATTATAGTATCAATAATTGCAAAATATAGAGAACAGTAATAAATAAATAAATTTTTATTATGGGAGACAGAAGAATTTATATGCAAGTACGAGCTTTGATATAAAAGAGTTTAATTTAAATTAATTTTAAAACTTTTAAAAATAAAACTATCACAATATTTTTCTGTGACAGAATTTGTAATAAAGAGAATGCGTAATTTATGCATAATACATTTGAAAGCAATTTTTAGTTATACGGTGTTTTACTATTTAACAGATAAATTTCGCGTTAACTTTGCAAGTTTCTATTCTATACCATTTATTTGACACACGAAGCTCTCTCGTAACAAACGAAAGACGAACGCTTGGAGTACGGTATAGCGGGGGTTAAGGCGCAGAGCTGTAGAGGGTGATCAAGGGAGAGGGTGGTCTTGCGCTATTAACAGCTAATGAAAATTAGCTTTCGTCGGTTGATTGAGCGTTAAATCGTTCCTTTCTCGTTTTACGAGACAAGTCCATCAGTGGTGCACTCGAACGAATGTACTTCTGCTTCAAATTGTGAGCTTGTTACCGTCGCGTCAATAGCAAATTCCTGAATTAAGGCTTGAAAATGGTTTGTTGCATTTTAAACTAATATATTTTAGTTACAGTTAAATACTTACCCCCAGTAATGAAATATTGCCAATCGGTAATAATACTATTTTTTCATAGCAATAAGACCTTAACTTTTTAAAAGTGAAAGATAGAGAGAAAATTCAAAACTAAAATTATTTTATATCATCCTTTTTATTCATGGATCTACTTGATTTTGTATTTAATTTTATTTTCAAAACGTTTTATTAAGCTATTTAGTTATCTGAGTAGGGACTTCTGGTATTATTAAAACAATTTATTTATTTATTCGTATCAAAGGATGAGAACAATATGTTAATTATAACAATTAACCATGATTTCTCTCCGTAATCTGTGCTCATATGTAGTTTAACGTGCGCGACGGAAAATCAGTGTAGCTCTATAGACTTCACAGTCGCTTCTGCAGTCCATTATTGCTTCGTTTAGAATAGTTGTAAACATTGTAAAGCCATAATGCTCTTGCGCTAAACGAGGCCTTGTGTCGATCTACAGTTGCTATTAGTGCCACGCAAAACTCATCGTAATAATTTGCGGCTTGCGTCACGAAAATTGTGCCGACCACTACAGTTTGTTGATACTCAGAAATGCCAAAAATACGAATTACGAAGCAAATGGATGATAGAGATCTGAAAGTTTTCCATGTTGCTTGCCAAAATTTAAACTTTTTATTAAAAAAGTGAGCTTATTGTTCTCCCAACTGGCAAATTTTATTGAAATCGTTTCAGTCGTAACGAATTCAATAAAATAAGCTCATTTTTTAAATTTTCAATCATCACTAGCGACTATAAGTGACGTTTTTCTTAAGTAAAAATTTCTTTTTTATTCATTTATCTATCCGTATACAAAATTATTGTTTTTTCAATTATTCGTTAGTTTTTTAGTTTCACTTAATTTTCAGATATCTAAATATATTTATCGTAGAAACATTCTGTTTGCTTTACATATCCGGCGTAATTAATGTTGCAGTAAAAGAATGTGTTAAATATTCTGTAATAACAGCGATTATTAATGTTGCGTGTATGCACCTAACCATTAAAACTTAAAAAAAATGCCAAAAGAAATAAATTAAAAACTACTAGGTCTTTGACACTCTGAAACTGTCTTGTAAGGATTTACACGGCGGAATGTAAAAAGCGTTTCGGTGAGGGCAATGTAACACTTTTATTTACAACAGATGAGTGTCAGATCTAGATTTTTTCTCGTCCGTCGGTTAAGTCTGCTCGTCGCCGCGTCTGAATAAACATATCTGATGTCTGCTGGGCCCACCCAGACACAGCCATTAAAACCCTTATGAGAAAGTCAGTTGCAATATTGTATAAGAAAACCTATTTTCCACCTGCACCTTTGTATTTTTCTCGAGATGGAGAGAAAGGACCGCGAGGAGGGAGGGAAATTGAAAAAAAGCAAACTTTCACGATAGATCTTGGTCGATATACATATATTTAAAGACATTTACGCGTCTGTACTTAAACAATAAATTGAATTTGAACATGATACACGCATGGCGCATGTTAAACAAATTTAATTAGCATTAAATATTTAATTCATTTTACATTTTACATTACACACGTTTCGCTACTAATTGCACATATTCCATTAGTAATTTGAAGAACACGTTTTTCATTTTCACTTTCGAACAATCGTGCTCTGTAATTTCTACATCAGACAACATTCTCTCAATTAAGATAAAAAGCACGATAATTTTATAATATAATAGTTGTGCAACGTCATCTTTATTTTTCTTCTTTCCGAGATATGAAACTTTGAAATCCAAAAACATCAAAGGATTAATAGGAAGCTAATAAAACCATTAACTTGATTTAAAAATTCTACTCCCTTTCAAGTTTAAAGTTTGATACCTCAAATAACAGAAGAAAATACAGAAGACTTGATATTTCGTATTTTATACACTTATTTACAGACTAATTTACACGATTGCTTTTACATCGCCATTGAATTATAATAAATACGCGATGATCTCAGACAGCTATTAGATGACGAATAAATCCAGTTATTTATGCATGTTAATGTAATTCCGAAGAACCAACCTTCTATGCGCATAAAGTGTGTACATAGATAGAAATGCAATTGAAAGTCTTAGAAATAACGTGTTAACACTAAAAGTATCGAACGATCATTTCTGACCGTTTCCAATTTTTTTAGATTAATATCCTGTCTCTTGTATAAAAGATAGGATTTTAAAATTTTGTGACTTTTCCTCAATCAAGCGATTGATCCAATGATTAATGAAAAGTCGTAAAATTTTAGAATCCTATCGTTTCTAGAAGAAATAAGATATTAATCTAAAAAAAAATAGCAACGGCCGCTAATGTGTGTTAAGTTAGAGTTGTTATTAAATGAGATATTAAAAAATGTCATAAAATATAACATCTAGTATAGGTGTAGTCAAATTTCGAATGTATTTTTAAGTTTTTCGCTTTAAAAAAATTATCATTATTAAAGTTATATAAAAACAATGTAAAATTTTTACACATATATACGATTTTCCTGTAGTCGAACACACTATTGCCCAAGTCTTTCAATTCATTTCTCGGGCAAAATGATAAACTTTCCAAAAAGAGTTTTTTGTATATTCCTCACGATATCTCTATCTAAAAAGTGTCATTCTCTAAATGATGATATTTTGCATCATTCTCTGAAGTACCATCATCTTCGTTTAGACGTGGAACGATAGTCGGTACTTCCAGAGAAGTCTATCGTTCACTTCTCGTCTTTGATCTTCGAAATTTGATTTGGATCGAAATCGGGTGTGATCGGGCTTTGTACCTGAACGTGGGTGGCATGTAGGGGTGGGCAGAGTAGCGGGTGGTACGGCAGGCAATAATACGGGAAACCGCCGAGCGCTTTGTTCGCGGGATGAATTTGCGGGCTCGACATTTGCCCGGGAAGTTGTCCGGAACCACGAAGAGGCAATCCCCTCAGATGTTCATCTGGGTGTACCAGGACGCGCACCGCCACACGCCTGGCGCTTCCAGAGTTCACGAGGGCGCCCAATTCCTGCTGTTGGCGCCGCTTGGTCTTATACCTGAAGTCAGTTAACGACAGTTGGTGAAATCGTAGTTGGAAGGGAAAAGATATTTTCCTTGTAAGAAAATTGACAAAAGTTACTTTTTCGAAATTATATTTCTCGAAACTTTCACATTAAATCTAGGAACATTACGACATGTGTGTAAGCATAGATAAAAGATTGCACCGTCGATTCTGAAACCAGATCTTCACTTGCGTCTCTGTTAGTTTTAAGCCACGTGCTAGGTCTGCCCTTTCCGGACCGGACAGATACTTTTGAGCGGCAAATCTTCTCTCCAGTTCATAGACTTGTGCATGCGAGAACGCTGCCCTGCTGCGCTTTTTTCTGTTCTGCAAACTTTGGCCTGAATTTTGCGATTCGTACGCGTCGTCCTCTGCCTCATCTGTAAGATAGGCGAACGAACCTCTATTTTATTAATAAAATTGCGATCTATTAGGTGCCGTGTGGATAAATTTTAATTAATAAAGGCTTAACAGATAAAGTTTTTATTATAACTTTCATATAATTTCAATTTTATTATTTATTAGCGTAAACTCTCCGCCATAGTCCGGGTTTTTTATGTCACAAAAGATCTAGAGGATGAAATCAGAGGGAGGGGTATTCAGGTTTGATGGTAGCTTATATTTTCCGCAGGGTCCTAGGGAGTATCTATATAAAATTTGATCCAGATCGATTAAAGGGTCTAAGAGTTAATAGGGAACAGGATACAGACAGACATTCTATTTTGTATATATATATATATATATATAATATAGATTACATTTGTCAGAATTTAACCCAGTCTAACGTGTATCTATAAATCGTTATAGCTCGTTTATTAAAAGAACAGAGCGTTTAAGCTTTCGCATATCGACGAATGGTGGAGTCTCATTTTTCGCATAATGCGAGCTTGCCGTTCAAATTCGTTTGCGGATAAATATTTAGATTTGCGCGAGAATCTGCAACTATACCGTAAGGCAATCGTTTAGCCCGAAAGTCGGAGTAACCATCAGCGAGCAGCCATAGAGACGGTGAACGATCGGAGAGAGAAAGAGCGAGAGAGAACCTCGCTTGCTTTTGATGTCTCGTACAAACATTAACACATGTACTCGCTACTCCGACATGTTTACGCTTCTGTTCCGCGGTAATTCTCCTCTAAGTTTAACCAGTGGCACTAGAGTACAATCGTATTGCAGATCACACTAGCTTCTTCTACTTGGCAACGCGCTTGATCCGCTACTTGGCGATACATACCTCTCATTACGAACAAAAAGTAATGTATATAAATTAGTAAACGAGATAACGTAAGTTATTTGCATCGCTAGGCGAAATAATTGTCCACACATATGCTTTGATTTTAAAGTGTACACTTGCAGATTCTTTTTATTCGTATTAACGCGAGGGAATTTTCGTGCATTTGAAACTGAAAATAATCTTAAATAAAATTTATCTTTTTGAAACTTCATTTCGATGTAAAGCTAAAGTTTTTGTCTCGAGCACTTTTCCTCGCGGAGGCGCGCCGATTAATTCGACTCTAACAGATTTCGAATTATTGACTTCATCTAGTAAAAAAACAATTAATATTTTGATATCTAAAAACGTTATTTTTAGCGTAGAAAAGATAATTCTTCTAAAGTCGCAATAATTTACCGTAATTTCGTTTTATCGTTTTATCAATAAAATGTATTCGGAGAAGAGCGAATGCTTTTACGTATTTTAAATTAATACGGGAAACAATTTGATAAATTTTTCTAAATTCGAGAGCGAATATAAATTGCGAAGTTGTCCAACAGTATCATAATTATTTCGCGCTCGAAACGCTCATCCTACGTCAATGTTTATCGTCGGTGGTCAGCAGGAGACGCGAAGCATTTAGAGAGATCTATATTTGATCACTTTCGACGTCGACTAGATGCCATCTCGTCCGGCTAATGCGTCCATCCTTCGGTGCTCGTCAAACATCCTATGGATGTTTATATCGAGTCTATATCGAGAGTTCAGCTCCAGGCGAGCAAGTGGCGTCGATTGACTCCGATTACATCGATGATCCTTCGAAACCACTAAAACACTTTTCGGCTCCTCCGTCGCGAAAGGACACGAAAATCGGGAAGGATTTTCTCTCAATTATTACCGTAATGAGTGGTTAAGAATTAATTTGTCGCGACAACGCCGATTCTACCCATTATCATATTAAATGACTGGAGAGATTTCCCCTCGAAAGTGGACTCGTAATTTTCTGAGTGCACCTTGAATCGGTGCCAGCTCGTGTCTACCTCTTCACCCTCGAACCGCTGCAAACAATATGCTGTCGTGCGGTTTCAGGTGACGATTCTTCGCTTAAGAGTAGACGCTCCTTCGTAATGTTAACTATTCTATATTTAATGATATTTGTATCACTTTATCTCGATAATTAAATTTTTATTTTTTCTATAAATGTTCTTCTCTAAACGCATCCTGAGGCCACTTTGTATCGAGTCTTATCGATGACTTTCCTAAGCTATTTAGTTTTCTTCTTAATAATGCAATATGTGCAATTGTAGAGACACAACACACAAAGTTATAAAATATTTCCAATTTTAATACATACAATAATTTGCTGAATCCGGGGTGAAGAAATTAATTCGGTTACGGTTAATGGCGATTGGAATCTTATGTCTTAAATGGTGAACAATGTACCTTTTACAAAGGTACATTGTTCTAAAGGAATACAAAATAAAAATCCTGCGTACATCCTATCATGAATGCTGTTAATCATGATTGATTTCACAAAGCAGTCAATGCGAGGGAGAGTATCTGTTTACCTTCATACTAAGATAACACTATTCCGCCACGTAATTCTATACTTTCGTATCAATAACGAGGGCGAATACTACGAAAAAAAAATGGACGCGGTACAGAGGGATGCAAAGGTAAACTGTCCTTATCTTGCGTGCAGTACATAACGTGCATACGGCACAAAACAGTTCAATTAATTAAATATAAAATATTGCTAGTTTATGGCGTAACACACTGACGCATTATATTTGCGTGCAATATGTAGCACAGCATGTATATAGCGCTAGCGGATGCAAACGATTAACTAAGAATTATTGCTATCCTATATGGAACACGTAGTGCTACATCTGTCACGAATAAATCAATCACGAACGTTTACTCGGAAATGGTTAGCGATCGTAACCTTGATCTAAAACGGTTTCGTCTAAACGGAGGTAATCCGCGAATCCTTGCGTGCTTGAGACACAGAGGAACAGAGTGTGGCCAGAGATCGAACAAGTGCAAGAAGTAGCCGGTACTCGTGACGTCTGCCGAGTCGAGTGCCACTTATGCTACTAAAATTACATTCAATTATGTTATCTGCGCTCGGGTTAACTTTAAAAACCCTTGAAAAGAGCTCGCCTGTTACGCGCGTATCTGCTCAAATGACCTCTTAAGCCCGCATCCTCGTGCCCGATACAAGACCCTCTGGCAGGTCACCATCTTCCAGGATCTTTAAGATATTGTCTTTGCTCGCGACGTGTTATGGATCGGATTGACTACTTTTGCGAAAAAAAAATTGATTTTACTTTCCTGGAGACTTTACGCGATTGAGAATAAATCGCTACGGTGCTTAACTCTAGAATTTTAAACATGGGTGAACTTTACGCAGACCAACATGAAGAAAGGTGAATTTTAAGGAAACATGTATTTCGTCTTTTTATTATAACTTTTTTCAACTTTGCTCAGTCGCAAAAATATGAGACATTAACAGAATTATCTCCCTCGATGTCTTCTACACTATTAAAAGAAGCTTTGAATTGCGGTTTCCTTTCCTTAGATTTTTTAGAATTACTTTCCTTAGAGTCGTGAATAAATGAAGATAAGCTGAGTAAACTTTAGTTTAAGATTTACTTAAGTTTTAGACACTTGGGATTCTAGAGTTAACATAATCTTCTAAATAACAATCTCTGTTTTGGAAGAAAATTCGATTCCGTGATTGCACATGAAGTTATTTACTAATTGCCGTTAGAGATTATTATTTGACTTAATTCGGTACTGCAGAAATAATGACGGAGAATTCAAACATATTGTTACTTTGACACTTCACTTCAGAATGAAAAGAAATTCGCGACGCGCTTCTTGTAGATGCAGAATTATGCGTGAATGCTTTCCATATTGCATGCGGATAGTTGATGACGTACCTAGATATTTATTTTTACTCATGTCTAAGGCTTCGTCCTGCTGTCTATGTGAAGTCTCCATCGGCTCTTTAACAGGCGGATACGCCGTCAAGTTTCCCAAAGTCTCGAAGTGATTCTTGAATGTTCCTTGGCTCAAGTGCGGGATGCCTCCGAAATTTGACAAATTCGCTTGCGCCAGGTTTCTTCTTAAGATATCCAACTCGTGCGCCATGCTTAACTCCGGAGTGGGCAGCCTCGGATAATGAATCACCTGATCATGATCGTAGCTTCCGTCAAGCTGCTCGTTCTCCACGCGCTCGTACTCGCGATTGTGTCTTCTCATCGGCGTGGAGACGGCGGCCTGGACTTTCTCCAGGTCGCATCTTCTTGAATCCGCGCAAGAATTTCTCCGGCTGAGGATGTCAGCGATACTAAAAGGGGTCGGTTGAAGGGGCTTCGGCGAGGCTTCGCTGCGTTTGTCGTCTTCCATCACGCCGCTTTGCTACTGTTCTCTTCCTCGCGACGATCGTAATGAGAGCTACTTCGAAACAACTCTTTCCGTGCTCTCGATGTCTCCTCTCTTCAGATCCTCTCGTCTTCCTCGATCTTCTTCCTCATAGTTACAATCGTCGTAGATTGTCCACGCACGGGAAAGCTCGTCCGCGTCACATGTTACGCATTCTCACCGTGTAAATTCACACTACCTTGTCTCTTCTTCACGAAAAACCTTGACTTCTTTCACCTTTATAAACTCGAAAAAAACAAACGGAAAGATTGTACGTTAACTTTCCTCAGCCACGCATGCTGTCGTTCTCGCTTGCCCGTTGTCGACACGTTGGAACGGAGGCTCGGCCGACGAATGTTAGGCGTCTTCCGCGTTCACATAATCCTTGGAGGCCCTCGAGCGGCCAGAGGCTCGCTGGTAGGCCGACTGGCGTTTATTAATTGTTATTCCCGAGTGCTCGACCCTTCCGATTCGAGTGTGCTTCGGTCAAGTGTGCTTGTCGCCCGCGGAGACTTATTTTTCGAATTACCACACTCAACCCGCAGCTCTCCCTTCCTCCCTCGAGAAGAGCCTCCCTCTTTCGCTCGACCAACCCCCACCTAAGAGACGCTTCGCCCTCTTCTCGCCCTCTTCTCCTCCCGTATCTCTTTCTGTTTTCACGAAGGTCTCCGTACCTTCCACGTAGACCTTCTAGGCGGTTTTGTCACCGAGAGATGCGAAGCTCGACGCTTATCAGATTCCGACGACGCTCTCATCAGCTATCGATCACTGTCTCACTGCATGTCATAGAAATGATCGTTCTCTTCTCTCCTTAACGAGCTCGATGACGTTCTTCTTTCGCCCACCCTCCCGATCTCGGCTCTCCTAAGCGAGCTTGCACGCGCGAATACCGCGCGTTCTGAGGTAGGTGGAGCTTTGGGTGCTCTACGTGCGATCGGACGCGATGCTTCCGTCACGACGCAAGCCTCGCCCTACGGCCAATCCACAGCTTTTCCCGCGACGTCGCTTTTCCACGGCGGCCAATCCAGGCGGAGGCACAGGTCGAGAAAGATTCTGCCGCGGAGTGGGATCGCGGGGGATTTTTAGATCATCGCGATCGACCCCGCCAGAAACGTACGGGCACTTTAGAGATTTTCTCGTTTTGTCATCCGTGTCAGCGAAGATGATAAAAGGCTGCTTAACTTCTTGCGACGGAGCAATCACTCACGGTCGTCATACATGACGACAGTTTCATTATTGATATATGCTTCGTGATTACTTATACTAGCATTTGATCGGAGCAAGCGCTAGGGAAGTAGTTAACAGATTCAATCTAATCAGTCTATTGAACCTGATATCCTCTTTTGCTGAACACAACAGTCGTTTTATAGGTTCTCAATCAATATTTTAACTTTCGTTTTCTACTCATTCTACTTTCTCGTCTCTTATGTCAACCGTTTTTATTTAATTATCATATATTTACGTTATAATTATTTTATAAAAATTATTTTTTATGAAAAGTAACTCCTGAATAAGGTTCACTCTAGACGATCTATGGTTTGTATCAGAAATAAAAAAAACATAAGATATAAAATACACAATGTAATAAAATTTTATCCTAAAATCTGACGCGACTTAAGGTGGGCTTAACACACTTTTGCAAATTAGTAAAAGGCTGCAAGAAAATGAAAGGGTTACGATTGGAAGTACGTTCCATCGTCGCCGGTCGACGCAAAACGATCAAAGTCAGTAGAATCGCAGCTGATAATTTCAAAAAGTTATCCCGTTCCCTTTGTACGTAGGGACACAAGCGGGACGGTAGGTGCCTACGTACTTCTCGATACGATACGAGAGAAACTGCGCGGTGCATATATAGGGTGTGCTTTACATAACAATCGCCGCTAAAGACTCGCGGCATTGTCTGCCACGTGCTGGCACCCGAGTTCCTATGGCGGTTTAATTAAGTGTGAACCACAGGAACGTGAACTACGCCTGAGTTGATCCGATGATGACCTCGCGCGCTCGAGATATCGATGAGAAAATACTTTCGCTCTCTCCACCGCCTCTCCCTCGCCCTCATGTTGCGTGGTGCCATCATTCGCGTTCTTCGCAGTCGGAAAAAAACGCGTGTGCGTCGACTGCAAATTCTATTGTTGCAAACTGAATCTTAATTATTTTTTTAAAGACGTAACAAACTATGACAAGCTTTTACTTACATGCGAGGGGGAAACCGCTGATGAAAATCTTGTACACCAATGCCCATTGGGCATTACTGTATCTTATTATCTTCTTTTATCTTATTTATCTTGTTTTATCTTATTTTTCTTATTTTATCTTATTTTATCTTGCCCAAAAATGTCCAGTAATGCCGCAAATCTGTACACCGCAATATGCCCCCAGCGGTTTCCCCCTCGCGTACATGCATACACTTTTACTTCGTTTACACAAATTGGAAAATTCTTTGTCAAAAGGATGATTCGATTTTTTTACATCGAGTGGCTTTTTTATCAAGTTGTTAATTAGCAGACAAAAGAACCGTAAAGAATTCTAGATCCGCTTTAACGCCATAACGACGATTAAAACAATGCGAGAGCATCGTTTCTATACTTTGTCCAAATGTTTAGGAAGGTAACTGCTATCCTAAGACATATATTTTTAATTTCGAGATATACGCTGTAAAAAAATTACATGTAAAATTACAATTATTATAATGGGTAATATTGGGACCATCTATTAAAGGCATATATTTGCGTACGTCAGTAAATTTACTCCCTGTAAGTCAAATTATTAGCTTATATAATAAGTAAACCGCTTGCTTTTGATGGTGTAAGTTTTACATTTTTTTTGTAATTTTTCATCATGGATAAACAAGTATTTACCCAACGAAGAGTAAACAAATTTTTTTTTATAAAAGTACATATATTTATATATTTCCGTTATTAATAGTGTAATCGCTACACTTATTATGTATGCAATTTTACGTACTTTTTTACAGTGTATTATGTTATATTTTACGTTCCTTTTTATATAAAATAATTGGTATTGCTTTCCTGTTGAATTATAAATACGGAATAAGAAAAATGTGTACGCGCACATAAATTGTGAATGACATACGAACTTTCACGAATTTCGATAATTACCTCCAATTAACAAACTTTTTTTTTTAAATAAAGAACAAATCGTGTATCAAGTACTACCGTTATGCCTTAAGTAGCCGGGCCGGAAATTGGAAAAACGCCATCCGCCATTTGCTTGTTACACTCCGTTCTACATAGAGCATCTCAGGCCAATCTTAAGTCTCCATACCGAGACCTCTTTTTCTCGATCCGATCTAATCAATAATAAATTATAGGGGGATGGTGGTACATCTCTCCCCTAAAGCTAAGGCTCTGACCCTCCCGCTCAATTGGTCGCAATTCTTAAAGACCTTAATTGGCGCGGAAAATTATACCTTATTTCAGTTACCCCCGAACAAGACCGGCGTCCGCCCTTCGCCGTCATCCTTTACCCGACCTCGCTATACTTTGTTGCCTCTCGCCTTCTCCTCCTTCGCTCGACTTCTGCCACTCGGATATTTCTTTTTCCGCCGTGAGCAATCGTCGGAAATATATCGAGATCGCGCGATGACCGAGCATCTAGAGCGGGTGGAATTTTTATTGAGAGACACGTCGCGAGGCAGATCGACCAATTACGGGATGAAGTGTCGATCGTTTACGAAATGAAGTCTCTGTCAGCGAACATCTCGCCGGCATCCGCCTGCCAACTCTGGCAGTCGTCAGGCATACGACCGTCGTTGCGCAAAAAGTCACCGGCCTCGACGTTCGTCTCAAACGGAGCCTCGCGGTTACCCTTTTAACAAGCTCGTCGTCGCCTGTCGCGTGAAGAGAGCGACTGGAGATGTCCCATAAAATCAAATAGTTCCGTACGAGGCTCCTTCCGAGCCCGATTTAACCGGCGGTCAATAAAGGCCGCGAACCAACAGCCCAGGGCTCGTTCAACGACCGTATCGGAACGAAAGCGAAACGTTAACGTAAACTGAAAAACAATCGTTGGCCACGGCGGCTGTCACTCCAACGAGGAGTTGGCATCCGCGTGGCAGAGTCATCTGTTCCCTACGCGGTCGCCAAGGTTTATTTTTCCAGAATGGTCGCTAAAACTCCCTCGTTCCGTTCGGTCCTCCAAGTAATTTCAACTATTTATAGCGGTCCACCTATATAGACGAGCTATTGGGGCATCTTTTTACGGGAAAGGCAAATCGATGAGTGGCGCTTATTAACGCTCATTATGTAATCTGGACTTATCACTAGGCTCTGTCCATTTAATTTCGACGTTTTCGCGTTGATTGATACTGACTGAAATGATCTCTTGTTACATAAACTTGTTTGCAATTGAAAAGAATATGCAACATTCTTCCAAACTGCACGTTATTTCTTTCCATAATAAGACAGACGTAACTCTCATCCAATGTACTTCATTGCTATAGTTTATCAAATTTTATAGGAACATTGGGAAATATATAAGGTAAATAGATACATCTTAAGTTTTATAATTTTATTAAATGATTAATTAACTAAAGACTCGGTACAAGGAAAAGTGAGACTCAAAGGCGATATTTGTACGCGAGTTAACGTTCTGTAACATTTAATAAATAGATTAATACAAATTTTAAATTGTACGTTTCGGCTCCAGTTTGAATAATTTTCAGCGACGCGGTGATAAATAACTTAAATTAACAATATCAACTCCACGGAACACATGTCGATATATTTTATTCGTATGAATAAATGTCATGTAAAGTTGAAGGAGCCACGGAAAATCGACAAGGTGGAGCTAATCGTGCGGGACGCGCGATGCAAAGAGTGAAAGGAGGAAGAAAGGAGAGAGGAAACGTGAATGAGCGGGAGTGGCGGCGGCAGCATACACTAAGCACTAATATTACGTCTCTGGACTGACAGACGCGCGGACTTTAAAACCCAAGACTAACAAACAGTTAGCAGTCATCCGGTCTTCTTGCTTTTATAATCTTACGCGGCCGCCCATATCGCGCGCGCCAATGCTCGCGCGAGTAGGAGCGCTCGTTCTCCCCCGCGCGTCTCGCACGCGGGTTACTTTCGCGTCGTCAAACGGCGATCGAAATTTCCTGCTCGTCTTCGCCGAAGGCAGGAACGAGGCTTCCTGTCGACGGGGAATTCGAGGCGAAGTCGAGCCCTCCATCAAAGCTGAGAGCGATTTTCGTCGCAGCGGCAGCATCGGCCATTCTTAGATATCGTTCGCAGAAGGATTGCCTCGTATGCATCGCGATGTCGTAGTAGAGATCATTATACGCAGATCGGCACTCACTTTATATTTGCCTACGAGTTTTATCAACTTGCTTTATCCGAGACTATTGCACAAATAATCTTACACTTCAGTGAACGATAAATAGGCCAGTTCTTTACTGTAAATATTTATAATTGCATTTCGAGAAAACTGAAAGAAAATATGATGGATGGCGTAAGCATTTATTATAACAGACAGATTTATTAATGAGTGAGAATCGAATAAGGAATTCTCTTTCTTTATTTTGACTTCCCGAGCACGTTTTCCACATATTACAATTTTATCTTTGTAAATAATAATTGCATTTTATAATTTTTATGAATATTAATGGGCAACGTGTCTGTCTCTTCTCCTAGAGATATCATATTAATTATCTGTACAGCTTTTAAATTGCGCGAAATAATTTGTCATTTATTGATTATTCAACGTAAGAAAATTAATCGATATGCACGGAGAGACCGATATAGTTAGCGCATGTCTAATTAAGGTTGGCATAACTTCAATAAATAGTAATATTTGGGACAGCTATATCTGTGGTTGTCACACCCATAAGTAGTGGAGACAATCACATGCGCCTTG